ACATTCCAATAATACATGTAAATGAAGCTGGGCATATCTCCTGGTACTGTTAATAAGATAACAGACAAGAATAAAAAGTTGATGGAAACTCACAAGTCAAAAGTTCCAAAGCGTCCAGCTACAGCTTGAAATTTACAGTGAGGTAAGAGTGTTTTTCAAGACCTGCAGTATAAGACCGACTTGTCCGTCTCCCATAGAATCTTGTTACAGTGGACAGTAGTGCGTAATTATGATCATCCGATTGAGCATGATGAATAATAGAGAAATTAATCCCATGGTCAATGAGGGACCTAAAAAATTAATTTTATAAACTTTCGGTATAAATACAGTTCTATTTAATGAGTTTTTAGTCCTAGTTATTAAAGCGTATTGTTATTTTATAGAAGTAGTAATTAGATAAATACACAAATGTTAAACTGAAGAGGACACATGAAAGTGTTGAAACTTCTATCCATATAAAATTGTTGTTTCCTGATGGTGGATCTAAACTTAGTTTTACATTATACATTATAAGATCTAAACTTAGTTTTACATTATACATTATAACATCTAAACTTAGTTTTACATTTACATTATAACATCTAAACTTAGTTTTACATTATACATTATAAGATCTAAACTTAGTTTTACATTATACATTATAAGATCTAAACTTAGTTTTACATTATACATTATAAGATCTAAACTTAGTTTTACATTTACATTATAACATCTAAACTTAGTTTTACATTTACATTATAATACCGAAACTTCTAAACACCTTAGTGTCTGTTTTTATCCGCAGAAAGTGACTTAGGAATCAAATGAGTGTTTTATAAATTTGAAAAAAAATCAACAACAAGAGGTTAAAATCATTGTAGAGGCAAAACAATTAATAATATGGTCCACTCCTTTGCCAAAATTCTTTTACCGGGACCTCTGGTTGTTTATTTTTCATAGAGCAAATTTAAATTGCTTCTTTGTATTTTCAGGTTTATGATGATAAATACCTGCTTTAGACTGATATGAATGAACATCAATAGCCAAATTTTAAGATGTTTTAAATCTTAGCTGGAATTATGTTTTTTTAATTACCTGAAACAATTTCTTTCCAAGCACATTGTACTATTACACAAAGAGTAAAAAACTAAAAATGCAGTTTGAGTAACTAGCCCTAATGATGATAACTCTCTTTTTTTATTGAAATTAGTCGGCTGAAAGTTTTCATAAGGATTTTATATTTTATTGTCAGCATCAGTTATTAAAAGAAGCCGATATTCTCCTTATCTGAGTTGTTTTTCAGTACTTCTGAGGACAATTATTTAGCCAATATTTTCTAGCTTCTCAGTTCTAAATAAAGGGCCGAGACAAATGGTTAGCATGCCGGATTGTGAATCTAGGCATCCTTGGTTCGCTTCCAGGTAACGAATAAAAATAATAAGAACAGCGCTTCGAATGTGCGTTACAAGAGAGACGGTGGGTGATGTTGGCTAGCTGCCTTCATTTTTTGCCTCTCAGTTAAAGATTAGGGACGGCTAACACTGACAGATCTTGTAAACTGAACAATTAAACAATTACTAAGAGCAGAGCTGCCCAGGAACAGTTTTTGGGTACGAAGGTTTCATCATTTTTGTTCCTTCTGGATAAGATAAAAGGAAATTATCTGAAAGTTACTTCCAGTTAAACGTATTTGTTAAATTTCGTTACACTATGTAACTGTACAGAAAGCCGCTCACCAACTAACATTATCTCTGAAACGGATTGTTCTCCGGCTGATTGTGTAAGCAGATTTACTTAACCGTATCGAGGAATACGACAGATAGTAAACTTTGTATACGCGGAGGTTGAAATATAGCTCTCGTGTTCGTTTCACTAACATTAATTCATTTGGTTTCACCCTAAAGGAACACGTGGTAGGTAAAGTCCTTATGAATTTCATTCTTAATCCAATATCTTATAGATAAATAATGTAAACTAATATAAACTTCTATTGTCAGTGAAGACGTTTCTCACTGGATAAGGCAAGTTGAGTCTCTAACATTGAACATGTATTTTTTGTTAAACAGGAGCATTTTAATATTGTTACAACGTCGTGAAAATCGTATTTATTGTGAACAAAATACACGCATAAATGTTTAAGTACTATAATAATCTCATTTACCTAAATCACAAGGGTATAAACAGCAACTTAAGGAAAACTGACAAATAAAGCAGACTAAATTTTAATTCACTACTTCTGTTTGTGTTTCAAAGACAGCACACCAAGTTTTAATTCATCACTTCTGTTTGTGTTTCAAAGACAGCACACTAAGTTTTAATTCACAATTTCTGTTCGTGTTTCAAAGACAGCACACTAAGTTTTAATTCACAATTTCTGTTCGTGTTTCAAAGACAGCATACTAAGTTTTAATTCACCACTTCTGTTTGTGTTTCAAAGACAGCACACCAAGTTTTAATTCACCACTTCTGTTTGTGTTTCAAAGATAGCATACTAAGTTTTAATTCACCACTTCTGTTTGTGTTTCAAAGACAGCATACTAAGTTTTAATTCACCACTTCTGTTTGTGTTTCAAAGACAGCACACTAAGTTTTAATTCACCACTTCTGTTTGTGTTTCAAAGACAGCATACTAAGTTTTAATTCACCACTTATGTTTGTGTTTCAAAGACAGCACACCAAGTTTTAATTCACCACTTCTGTTTGTGTTTCTTAATCTCAAGCTGTTTTATTTAATACTGCTTTCCATCATTGTGTTTGTCTAGATTTCTATCTGCTAATGCTTCTTTCTCGCAGATTTGTTGGAATTAGTTTCTCTAGTAGTGTTTTATCTGACAAGATTATTTTTGATAAAGTTTTACCTAGTACTGATATTCTTGACAATGCTAGTATTATTATTATTTCCCCTGGTGGTTTTTTGTCAGCTATTGCTTTTTTTACTGTTAATAATATATCTGGTATTGTTTTATTTTTGGTAACAATTTCTCTAACATCTGTTTTTTTAATAATGCTTTTCGGGTATTTTTTTTTACTTTGTCGCGCGCTTCATTATCTGATGCTACTTTTTTAGTGATGCTTTTATGGTATTGTTGTATTTTTGGAAATGATTTATTGAACAATATGTTTTTGTTGTTGGTTTTGCTTTCTCTGCTAATGTTTGGTGTGACATAGTTTTGTTCTAACACTTTTTCTTTCAGTGTTTGTTTGTTTCTAGTTAAACAGAAAACTAGAAAAATGGACTATCTGTGCTGTGCCCACTTCGGGCGTGAAAACCTGGTGTTTATCGTTATAGGGCTTCGAACTTACTGTTCTTTAAATGAATTGATGGAATAGTATTTGCTACTAGAACCAACCATTTCTTTCTACTCGTAGAGCTGTGCTTGATGTTGTCTTTTCTTTTACTAGAAGTGCTGTATTTGGTGTTATCCTTTTTTACTCGTAATGCTGTGTTCGGTGTTATCCTTTCTTCTACTTGTAGTGCTATGTTTTGTGTTATCCTTTCTTCTACTCGTAGCGCTGTGTTTAGTGTTATCCTTTCTACTCGTAGTGATGTGTTTGGTGTTATCCTTTCTACTCGTAGTGCTGTGTATGATTTTATCCTTTCTACTCGTAGTGCCTTGTTTGGTGTTATCCTTTGTTCTACTCGTAGTGCTGTCCTTGGTGTTATCTTTTGCACTCGTAATGCTGTCCTTGGTGTTATCTTTTCTACTCGTAGTGCTGTGTTTGGTGTTATCCTTTCTCCTACTCGTAGTGCTGTGTTTGGTGTTATCCTTTCTCCTACTCGTAGTGCTGTGTTTGGTGTTATCTTTTTCTACTAATGTTAGTTTTCTTGCAGTGTTTTATCTCAGGTTACTTTTTATCTTTAATATAATTTTTTTTTCATTTTAAGAGCTTTAATTAACTACTTTTGTGTTTAATACACACAAAATAATTAAAATCCAGCTCACCTTCTTGTTATTATACACGGAGTTCTCTTTCGTTGTGATAGCTTCTCCTAATCATTCGCTAATCTGCGGAATCTTTATTAAAGCGATTATATTGGAAACTATATCACAACGAGTAATAAATAATTCTGCAGCTAGAGGTTGAAATTTCTGGGAAAATATTAGCTTATAAATTTTAATGTGCTCAGGCGTTTTGATATATTTCATGTTTTTAAAAAATTAATTAGATGTGTCTATATGTTTGCCTGTCTTTGTGTATGTTCTTCAGTCTTTATATTATTTATTTTCAATGCTTCAGGGAGTCTGAAAACAACTCTAATATTTCATAAATCCCATACGGTCTCTCTTAATTCGTCTGTTTGCTACTTGTTGTCGCAAAAAATTTCTCCGCATTTTGGATCGTAGGTGTGCTATGCCTAATAAGAGTAATGGTCAAATCAAACTATTTGATCCTGGTAAGAGTAGCCTAATAGTTGGCAGTGGGTGTTTTTTATCTGCCTACCTTCTTGTCTATCAGCTCAAAATCAAAACTAGAGACGGCTATGCGCAGACAGCTCCTGTGTAGTTTTTCGCGAAATTCATACAAAGACAAATAAACTCTTAATTCTTAAATATCTGTTTGGTCGTTCCCTTTCATTCATTATACTTTATTTTTCTAATGAAAAGGAAAGAGAACATTTATCATTAAATTTTTTGTTTAACATTTTCAGATTTACTTATCGTACTCGCTGGTATTAGCAACCAGGTAAGAACCTACGACACTTTGTTTTATATATGTTATCAATGGTTCAGTACTGTTTTAGTTTGTTTTGTAAGAGCCCGTCTGCACTTTTTTGTACCGTCTTTAAACACTGAACAATAGAAGAAACAAACAAACATCACCACAACAAGAAAATACAGCACATTAACGCAATAATGTTGTGTTGATGTTTCCAAGTAAGATCTACCATGCGGATGTTTGTAATAATTAATGATTAAATGTACTATGTTTTACTACATGGTTTGGTCACTAGAGTAATGAAATAGTAAACTACTCTTTAAAATTTACAAACTAGACATTCGTCCACATTTCTTGCGTAGGTGGTAACTGTTTTCCATACCATCCACTGGGTGGCGCTTCACTTGATGTGGCTGGGCTATAAGAAGGACCGTTGACCACAATTACTCCAGTTCTCGAGATTTTGGCCAAGATACTGACCACAACACCAGTGCAAGATAGCGAGAAACCTGTGTCCAGTTTTAGAGACAACTCGTAAGTTTTATGGTTATCTACATTTTTAAAACTGTATACAAGTTTGAGATCCATTTGTAAAAAGAATTATTCACCGAATAATACACTTAAAAATTCCTCATTTGCCAGATAATAGTAAACACAAGCGAATAAAGTGGCAGAAGTAACTTATTATATCTAAGAAGAACTACAAACACTAGAAATTTATGTAATTAGTTAAACTGTATGAAAATTCAAGTCTTTTTTTTTGTGAGTTTCATGACAACCAAATGCGAGTACTTAAAAAAACAAATAAAATATATTGTGTTAAACGTACTAGAGTTAAAATTATTAGTCATTAATCTTCTTAGCACACGAATTATGGTGGTAATTAAAAGTAATTAGATATTACTCGATGATAAATATTTACACACTATTGTTTACTTGTTTAGCACAAATCTACTGCTATTTACTCTCTGGCAATAGCAGGTATCAAAACCTAGTTTTTAGTATTATAAAAACCAGAATTACGGCTGTGTACAGAAGAGAAGCTGATTTCGTCAAGCAACATATGTGCAAATAAATTAGCTTCGAATTAATAAAATAACATTTGTACAAGTTAATGTTAAAATAATACTTCTTTTGATGAAAAACTCGCTTTAGAAAACGAGAAAATATTTAGTCAAGAACTCGACTTTTTGATATTAAGATCTATAAAAATATATATAAGTTGTTACAACGATATTTACACAGAATAAGAAACTACAGTCTAAGAAATATTTCTATGCTGCAAGTCGACAACACGTTTGTTTGTGAGAATGGACTTGTAAAGGCTTAATCCTCAGACGCGGTATTGTAAGTAGCAGAGTGTACTTATGAAAATAAAATTAAGTTTAACAGACAAGTTTTAACGAATTTATAGCGCTATTACCTAGGAAATGGTTTCTTTAAACGTAAGCTTGAATGTAGACGTGTTTAATACGCTAAACAATCGACAACAATTCATGCCTCTCGACAGGTGGGGTTATAAATGTAGAAAACATGAAACTAAGTTATAGTCACGTTGAATAACTTTCGAGTGTGTGTTGTATTTGGCACTTCAACAAGAGGCTACATCTTACGTTACTCTTGTCTGTTTGAGTAGCGGGCTTTAATTACCAATATTATAATGCACGGGTCTCGAACCATAAATTGTCGAATTCAATCTTCGAGCACGTTAACGACTATGGGCTACATCTGATACACGTTGTAGTTAAATTAACAGACAATTCTGTAATATACAAACTTGCAAAGCTCAAGCTGCTGACTAATTAGTATTTTTTACAGTTTGGACGTTCGATGTTTAATAACATGTTATCTATATTTAATTGTACAATCCCACAATCCTAAACAGACTACACGTTTTGGTGTTCTACGTCATCATCCTATACGTAGAACATCGAAACAGGTGGGGCCTTTTGAGGGTTGTACCCCATTTTGAATACATTATTTGTTGTATAATTATTTCTAATTGTATCTCTCGTTTTATTTTTCTTCCATTTGTATTTACACATTATTATTTGAAAATTTCAATATCTAAGTTTATTTTATTTTCGTTCTTCTTTAGCAACTAAATCTTAACTTGTTTTTTTTTCTGTCTTTGGTGGTTACGACTTTATATTTAACTCTACTTTAACTCATTTCTTGAAGTATTTATTTTATATTTTATTTCTAACATTTAATCAAATATGATTTCCAACTCCGCTCTGTCCAGCGTTATAGCTTGAAAGATAATTCAATTTCTTTATCTTACTTTTCTAAATCGCATGTCTTCTTTTAACTAACTTGTATTTTTCTATATGCTTTCTTAGCCCTTTTATTTAATTCTTTAGTACATTGTTATCTCTAATCTACTCTCTCTCACCTCCTTTATCTAATTCTTTAATACCATTGTTATCTTTAATCTACTCTGTCTCACCTCCTTTATCTAATTCTTTAATACCATTGTTATCTTTAATCTACTCTATCTCACCTCTTTTATCTAATTCTTTAATACCATTGTTATTTTTAACCTACTCTCTCACATCTCCTTTATCTAATTCTTTAGTACCATTGTTACTTTTAACCTACACTCTCTCATCTCCTTTATCTAATTCTAATACCATTGTTATCTTTAATCTACTCTCTCTCACCTCCTTTATCTAATTCTTTAATACCATTGTTATCTTTAATCTACCCTCTCTAACCTTCTTTATCTAATTCTTTAATACCATTGTTATCTTTAATCTACTCTCTCTCTCATCTCCTTTATCTAATTCTTTAATACCATTGTTATCGTTAATCTACTCTCTCTCATCCTCTTTATTTAATTCTTTAGTACCATTGTTATTTTTAATCTACTCTCTCTCACCTCCTTTATTTAATTCGTTAATACATTGTTATCGTTAACCTACTCGCTTTCTAATCCCGTTTATCAAATTCTTTAGTACCATTGTTATCTTTAGTCTACTCTCTCTCACCTCCTTTATCTAATTCTTTAATACCATTGTTATCTTTAATCTACTCTCTCTCACCTCCTTTATTTAATTCGTTAGTACCATTGTTATCGTTAACCTACTCGCTTTCTAATCCCGTTTATCTAATTCTTTAGTACCATTGTTATCTTTAATCTACTCTCTCTCACCTCCTTTATTTAATTCGTTAATACATTGTTATCGTTAACCTATTCGCTTTCTAATCCCGTTTATCTAATTCTTTAGTTCCATTGTTATCTTTAATCTACTCTCTCTCACCTCCTTTATATAATTCTTTAATACCATTGTTATTTTTAACCTACTCTCTCACATCTCCTTTATCTAATTCTTTAGTACCATTGTTATTTTTAACCTACTCTCTCATCTCCTTTATCTAATTTTTTAATACCATTGTTATTTTTAACCTACTCTCTCACATCTCCTTTATCTAATTCTTTAGCAGCATTGTTATTTTTAACCTACCCTCTCTTACATCTCCTTTATCTAAGTCTTTAACACCTTTGTTATTTTTAATCTACTCTCTCTCGTCTCCTTTATCTAATTCTTTAATACCATTGTTATCTTTAAACTACTCTCTCTCACCTCCTTTATCTAATTCGTTAGTACCATTGTTATCGTTAACCTACTCGCTTTCTAATCCCGTTTATCTAATTCTTTAGTACCATTGTTATCTTTAATCTACTCTCTCTCACCTCCTTTATCTAATTCTTTAATACCATTGTTATTTTTATCCTACTCGCTTTCTAATCCCGTTTATCTAATTCTTTAGTACCATTGTTATCTTTAATCTACTCTCTCTCACCTCCTTTATTTAATTCGTTAATACATTGTTATTTTTAACCTACTCTCTCACATCTCCTTTATCTAATTCTTTAATACCATTGTTATCTTTAATCTACTCTCTCTCATCTCCTTTATCTAATTCTTTAATACCATTGTTATTTTTAACCTACTCTCTCACACCTCCTTTATCTAATTCTTTAATACCATTGTTATCGTTAATCTACTCTCTCTCATCCCCTTTATTTAATTCTTTAGTACCATTGTTATCGTTAACCTACTCTCTCTCACCTCCTTTATTTAATTCGTTAATACATTGTTATCGTTAACCTACTCGCTTTCTAATCCCGTTTATTTAATTATTTAGTACCATTGTTATCTTTAATCTACTCTCTCTCACCTCCTTTATCTAATTCTTTAATACCATTGTTATCTTTAATCTACTCTCTCACCTCCTTTATCTAATTCTTTAATACCAAATTTATTTTTAACCTACTCTCTCTCATCTTCTTTATCTAATTCTTTAATACCATTGTTATCTATAATTTACTCTCTTCTTCGTTTACACCAATTTTACACTTATTTTCACCTCCTTATCATATTCTTCTGGTTTATATTTTGTTTTTCTTCTTGTTTCACAGTGCCCTTTCTTCTACATAATCGTTTTAAGAAGTTTTATATTCTAATTTTTTTTCTTTATCATTTAAATATTATCTTTTATGTTCACTTTTCTGTTTGTTATTTTAAGCATTTGTTTCTAGTATTGCCTAACATTAACTATCTAATATAACTATATATATATATATATATATATATATATTATCATTAATTTATATTTTATTATTTTAATCTTCTCTATTTGCCTACTTACTATTTCTTCTCCTGCATCCCACGTCTTTATCTTATTCTACTCTTCCCTAGCCTTTATCTTATTTTGTTCTATGCCAGTCTTTATCTTATTCTATGCTTTCAACTCTTTTATTGCATTCTACTCTTCCCTTGCCTTTATCTTATTTTCTCCTTTTCCTGTGTTTATAACTTTATGTTATTCTATTTTGCCCTACTATTTTTCTCAGTCCACCTTCCCTACCCTTTATTTTATCTTCATTATTCAGTTGCTAATTTCTTTCTTCATTTTTCCTTCATCTCACCATATATGTATTTTCCTTTTAATGTAATTCTTTCTTTATCCCACTGACCAAAGACTATGTTACCGTTTTCTTTCCGAGATAACTAGAATAACCCATATAATTAATATCTAATCAAACACACGCCTTAGGTGTGAAAAAAGGTGAAAAAAGTTAACTAATGAATGGATATTTACTGTAAATTTTTTTATCAGTGCTATAAGTGTAACTACCAGTTTGTCTGCCAATTTTGATTTCATTCCTTTAAGTCGCACACTCAGTCCTTTTTTGGCCTCACTGTTTTTCACACCTAAGGCGTTTTTGATTATATATTATGACCTTTTGTCAATACACACCAAGAAGTCGAAGCAATTAAGAAAGTGACACTAGATAACAAGCCACATTTGCTTTAGAATTGCAAACCCATTATTCGAAACAGACCTATACTTTACAGAACCAACCAGCTTCTTTAAAATATATGGTGGTTGTTTTCCCTCTCTAAAACAGTGTTAATAGCTTCCTTTATAGGTAGCTCCCCAGTAGCACAGCGGTATGTCTGCTGACTTATAACATTAGAAACCGGTGGGCAGAGCACAGATGGCTCATTATGTAGCTTTACACT